GGATGAGGTGGATGAACACATGGAAGACCTAGCTGAGCATTCTCAGTGCAACAATTGCCATGACGGGTGGCATTGAGCATGCCCACCATACACCCCCGACAAATGGCATGTCGATTGCAGGCCAAAATGAAAGAAGAACGGTCACCACAAAAGAGCATGCATTCAGTATAGCGCCCATGGCCGCAAAATGGACATATAGTGTCCGGATGCGGAGGGTGCCTGCAGTCAGGAACGGTGGGACAGTCCTCTGCACACATGGATGCAGAAACCATGTCATTGTAGTGATTGTGACAGAGACGATGGCGACTACAGCCGAGTGTAACAATGTTTGTGGTTGTGCAAAGGAGAAGGTCACAAAGTGTTGGTACATTATCTTGCTGCAGCACAGGGCCAGAGGAATGATCTTCGACATAAAAGAGATTGCGGACGGTTTGTTGTGGAGTGTACTCTGGGCAGATCATGTTCCAATCCCTCAACAATTAAGGCTGCATCCTGAGTAGGGACTGTACCTGGAGTCGGGAGTGTACTCTGGGCAGCGGCTGCATCCTGAGTAGGGACTGGTGGCTGCCTGCAAGCAGCTGGACTGTCTGCAGGGGGCATAGGAGCGGATATTGCCGTTTGAAACAAAGGAACCGCAACAACCTGTGGAGGCGGCACAGAGAGAATCGGGGCAGAAAAAGAAACAGGTTGTTGATCCCCGGACAAGTGACGATGCCGCAGATGTCGTCGGTGATACACAACAAGAGTAGTGGTGTTGCAAACAGAAGCTGAACTTGTACCTAGCAACAAAGGTGGAACAATGGGAACAATGGAAACTGGAGAGTCTGTTCGCAAGCGAGAACGGGGAGGAGACGGGGGTGGTGAGGAGGAACGCAGTCGTCTACAGCCAAGCACAAACAAAGATGAGAGGGGGGTGCATTGGGCAAGATTTTGAAGCAAAGGACGCGACCATCGGAGAAATTGTGATGTTCTTTGCATTGGAGCTGCAGGACAGGAAGTTGTAGCGGTAAAAACTAAAGTAGGAGGAAGTACAGTTAGGGAAACTGTTGTACTGAAAACTGCAGCAGTGGAAACCGTAGCAGTAGAAACTGCAGCAGCGGAAACTAGAGCAGTGGAAACTGGAGCAGTGGAAACTGGAGCAATGAAAAATGCAGCAGTGAACACTGCAGCAGTGGAATCCGCAACAGTGGACACTGCAGCAGTGGAAACTGCAACAATGGACACCGCAGCAGTGGAAACCGCAACAGTAGACACTGCAGCAGTGCAAACTGCAGGAGTGGAGACTGCAGCAGTGGAAACTGCAGAAGTGGAGACTGCAGCAGTGGAAACTGCGGTAGCAGCAGATGAGCAAGCAAGGGCAGGACGAGAGCATCGTGGGGGCGAAGAAGAAATTGGATGATACAAGGACAATCGCAGCATGCGTCGGAACCACTTAGAGAGACGCGTCACATGTGTAGGATAGCGACGTTGGCGGGAGCGCATGTAGCAGGTTCAGCCCTTAGCAAGGGTTGGTAGGGAATGCCCACGCGAAAGCATACGACGAGTAGGCGTTGTTGCCGCAGTTCGAAAGTCCTGCCAATTGGTACAGATTTGTTCAAATCTGGTCAATTACCCAGTGAACACACCAGCCGGTTGATGGGAAGGGATGTTGGAGGTCGCACTTGGATAACGAATGAGAGGGAAGTCCCAAGCAGCCGCTTTATCAAAGACGCTCATGCGAAGCGAGCCATCAGAACGGACCCGTAGATGCATACCTAAAAAGGTACAAGAGCCATCTGTAGTTGTAGTCTCCTTCCACTCAAGCCCATAGTGCTCTGTCGGAGGAGGTAATTGTCCCCATGAAAGAACATCATCAATGAGGCGATAGGTGAAGGCATATTGTTGAGAAGCTTGAAGATCATGTTGTTGAATGTCATCGACAAAGCGTGCTTCATCCCAATACAGCGTCAGATTAGAAATTTCTGGGCCAGCATTCGTTCCCATTGGAATACTGATAATTTGTTTCTGAAGCGTGCCATCTCTCGTATATAGAAAAGTGTTTTGTACAAAAAAGAGAAGATGCTGGAGAATCTGGGAAACAAAAAGGGTATCCCGGCCTGAATCAGTTGTCCATTGGCCACAACGAGGTCCTCGAATAACCATGTTGAGGGCAACGCAGCGTGAATGCGTGCGAGCTTGCCGAAAGGCATAAGCATAAGCTTCATCAACAACTTTTGCCACATTACTCAGAATGCGGTCATGAGGAAGGTTGGTGTACATTGTGGTAAAATCAACAGTGCGAGGAGAGCGGCCCCGAAGAGACGATGCATTGCTTTTCAAGTCAATCGCCACTTCATCGGCACTCTGAACAATCCAGCACCGCCGAACACCAACCTGTTGATAGAGCTCGGTGTCTTTCTCGCAAAGAGTAGAGATAACTCCTTGCAAAGCAACGTTGAGATACGACGAAGTAGTCGTTGTGCTAGCCAAGGGTTTGTGAGGAGGTCGTTCATGAATGGTGCGTATTGTTGGACGAGGGCGAGCACGCAGGGGAACAGCACTGTTATTTTGTGTGTGCCTCCAAGAATGCTACGAAGAGTTGGAGGAGACTTGTGAGCTTTGAGTACATAGTAAAGGTAAGGTAGGGTATCAGTGTGGGTGTAACCCCAATGGTGATTCCACACTGCATGGTGGTCAAGGACATTAGCAACGGACTCTTGAGGACGAGTACAAGTGGGACCTGTGTGTCCGAAATCACGTTCAACGGGGGTTTCGAGTTGAACGGTTCAACTCCCGTTGAATTTCGCTTCAACTCCGCGTTATACCCCGTTACAACGTGGTTCACCTCGGCCCGCGGATATTTTTTTGTAGGCAAAAAATAAGTAAAAAAAAACAAAAAAAATATGGGGGTGTAGATTTTTTTGCTCTCTACATCCCCATATTTTTATTTTTATTTTTTGAGCATTTAAATTATTTTTAAGAAATCAAAAACAAAACCAGACTCAAAACACACATATTTTTTTATTTTATTTTTTTGATTTATCAATAGACTGACTGACTGATTGATTGATTGATTGATTGGTGGGGGATGGGTCGCCCCCCGAACCCCCACCCAATCACAGATACACACACACACACACACACACACACACACACACACACACACACACACATGAACACACACGCACACACACACACACACACACACTACCACGCCAAAGCGGGCGAAAGCGGGTTTTCCTGCCTTTTTTTTTTCTTTTTTCTTCCTTTTTTTTTTTCTTTTTTGATTGATTGATTGATTGAGTGATTGATTGGTAGGGGATGGGTCGCCTCCCCACCCCCCACCCAGACCCATCCCCTACCATTCAATCAATCAAAAAGAAAAAAAAAGTGGGAAAACCCGTTTTCGAACCCGGCTTTCAAAAGCGGGTTTTCCCGCTTTTTTTTTTTCTTTGTCTTTTTTGATTGATTGATTGATTGATTGATTGATTGATTGATTGATTGGTAGGGGATAGGTCGCCCCCCCCGCCCCCACCCAGACCCATCCCCTACCAATTAATCAATCAAAAAAGAAAAAAAAAAAGTGTGAAAACCCGTTTTCGAACCCGGCTTTCGAAAGCGGGAAGCTTTTTTTTTTTTTTGATTGATTGATTGATTGATTGATTGATTG